GACAATAACAACAACAACAACAACAATAATAATAATAATAATAATAATAATAAATCTGTCTTGTTATTTCCTTTCATTTTTCCCTGTCTGTCTTGCAAAATTTAAACTAAAAAAAATAATAATAAAATCTAAATATGGATACAAATGGATACAGTGTACAGTGTCACTTTCTGTGGTGTAATAATGGTGCAAAGAGTAATATTATTAATAATAATAATAATAATAATAATAATAATAATAATTTACTGTTGATTATATATAATCCGATTAATTATTATGTTATATTACATTACATTAACATTACATTATTATTCAAGGCAGTCATGAAAGAACAACATTCTCCAGCATTCCTTGCGCTTTTGAGAAAATAATGTCCGTTTTCATGGATTAATTTAAAACGCCGAGCTAAATTTATTTCTAAAGTCACATTTAATTATATGGTGTGTTGTACGTGTTATTTACGCCCTATAAAGGCGTTTCTTTCTCTTCAGGCATCTAGCAGGACTACTATGTGCGCTGACGTTTAGGTCCATGTCTGTCCGGTGTCATTGGTGAATGACCGAAGATGTCTCATAGCAGGTTGTTTGCCCGGTTGCTCTGTAAGTAAAACTGACACGAGTGTTGTTACATTTGAAACACATCGCTGTCTTCATTTTGACATTGCTCCATCAGCTACTGTACACGAGAGAGTCATTTATCTCTTTATTATTTTCAGTAAACACACAGTTAGCTAATGCTAATGCTTGATAACAGCACCAAGTGTAACATATTTAACGTTAACAGTGCACTTCTGAAACGTGACCTTTACTGGTAAATATGCTTCACTTCAAACTCATCGCGAGGTTAACTTATTATAAATCATTTAAAAGATCAGTGTTAATGAACTTGAAAAGTTGCAGACTGACAGCAGTATCATTTGATGTAAGTGCTTATTCATTTTTGGAAATGACAGTCTATGTCTTTGCTACAGTTATGATCAATATTTTATTCATCCTCAACTAGGATGACAGTGTTCTTTATCATTTTGCTGAACGCATGTTGACAGGTTGATGCATGAGGACTAATGTGACAAGCTGTGTGTGTGTGTGTGTGTGTGTTTTCTTAAAAGAAAAGAAAAGAAAAGAAAAGGAGAGAAAAGGAGAGCAGAAGAAGTTCAGAGCATCGGCTGCAGATCCGCTGGGAATCTCATCAGTGCGAGATGCTGAAGCTAAAGTCCAGATCAGACTCTCCAGCAGAACATCTCAAACCCTGGATCCAATCAAGCTCAGCTTCTTTATCCACAAAACACGACCCAAATAAAAGCCACCACACTATCAGTGCGCTATTTTCTTAACTGTAGGGAACTTTGAATCTCCAGCTCTGCTCGAAAGCAACACATCCCGAGCGGCTCTGGCTCGCTGATTCAGTTTTCCCAACGAATCCCGCAGTTTTCCTAAGAGTGCGCTATTCCCGAGCACCGTTTACACAAACCGAACCGTGTTTTCTCCCGACTCGACGCGGATCTCTGTGAAAGATGCATTCGGAGGCATTTTACTGAACTCACCATCCCAGCAGTGAAGTCAGACGAGGACAAAGCGCCCGAGCTCGAGAGAAGACCGCGGGCGGAAAGTGAAGCCACTCCTCGGTCCGGTCGCATGACGTCACGGCCAGCGGTTCCGGTACACCGGAGCACGCGTTCATTCCCGGGACCCAGACAGACTTCACAATTCACGGAGACCGCCGTGTTAGTCTGGATGTTCTGTGCAGAGCACATTCAGGGCTTTTTATGGATAGCAAATGTTGGTCTTTAAATATGAATTATCAAATTTAGCACTCTTAGGGAAATATGATCGTGTTTTGTAATTATCATTTAAATGGTTTGTCTTAAAAAAAAAACATCTCGGAAAAATGTTATGGGTTTCAAATCGGAATATGACTTTTTGTTATGAAACAGCGCATAATTGTCATGTCTTCTGTAGAGGACACCAGGACAAACAAGAAATTATACAAGAGCAATATTCCTATGAAATATGAGATATTCTTATTAAAATTATTACTCCCATTATTACACTTCTTTTTCATTACGGTTTGCCACAAGAACACATTAATATGCAAATTAGATGCAGTGTATACATTGTGTAGAAGGGGAATAGCAATTAATGGACATTTTACGCATATATTCCATAAAGAACAGTAGTATACAAAATCATTCTGTTATATCTTTGACATAGTCGAGAATCATCTTTGTACATAGTTTGGTTAAAAACAGCCTGAAACCTAAAAACTGATTGGTAAATGAAAAAAAAAAAAAATATATATATATATAACTCAGTCCTGGCGTCCTCTAAAGAAAATATGAATAAAATATTTTTTTTTTTTCAAAAATGTTTTTTCTCCATTTGTCTCTTATGCTCCAACCAATGTAATGACATTAAAAAAAAAAATAATAATAAAATTTAAAAAAATCATGAAACATTTTTTTTTTTCTGGTTCTCATGAGGATATGATTAGTTCTGTAATAACGGAAGCGGGAAAAAAAACATTATAGTTAGGGTTTTACTAAATTGTATATTTCATAATTAATATTCACTGTACGTACTCTTTCATCGTTTTACTAGGTTAACCTTATAGAGCGAATTACCTCAATGAGACATATAGCATATTATTATTATTATTATTATTATTATTAAAGTTACATATACTAAAAGAAAACAAAATAACATGATCTGCTCCAAAAAAAAAGTTATATAATAGATATAGATATTGATTTTAAATTATCTTTACATAATTGAGCAGACTTAAACTTAGCATTTACTACACTGACTGATGAAATGAATTGCAAAAGACCTACGATACTTGAAACAATACTGCAGTGTTCTGTACAAATGCTAAAACACAAGAGGGCTATTTGAGCTTTGTTTGACCTATAAAATCAATCAAAGTTAATGAATCAAAGTGTCCACAGATCACAATTCAGTGCTCTGTTTATGCTGCTCTGAACTATATTATTAATCAGATACTTTCAAATTTCACACATTTTTTGGCATATATTGATATTAAAATGTCCCTATTACTGCTACACTGGTGGTTTGAATGAATAATTATTTACGTGAAAAATAAAACTTGCAGTACCCCCAAATGAGCAGGGAAAAAAACATACAAATAAATAAATAATTATACAAATAAATAAATAAATCAATACATAAATCAATAAATAGTCAGGGCAGGGATAGAAACGTACGTGTATAAACGTACTAGCTTTACATTTGATTTTTTTTAAATTAGTATATTAAAGTATTTTCATTTGATTTTATTTAATCAAAATGCAACGATAATTTAATTAGTTTTTAAAGAAGTATCTTCTGCTCACCGAGGCTGCATTTATTTAATCAAAAAATACAGTAAAAACAGTAAAAATGTGAAATATTATTATAATCTAAGCTAGCTGTTTTTTATGCGAATATCTGTTAAACTGTAATTTATTTCTGTGATCAAAGCTGTATTTTCAGCATCATTACTCCAGTCTTCAGTGTCACATGATCTTCAGAAATCATTCTAATATGCTGATTTGCTGCTCAACAAACATTTCTGATTATTATCAAATAGAATAGAAATCAAATAGAAATATGTTCTAACAATATAAGTCTTTACTGTCACTTTTTAATCAATTTTACACATCCTTGCTGACTAAAACTATTAATTTATCTTTGAACGGTAGTGGATATTGTTAGAAAATGTTTCTATTTTGAATAAACGCTGTTCTTTTAAACTTTTTATTCATCAAAGAATCCTGAAAAAAAGTATCAAAGTTTCCACAAAAATATTGTGCAGCACAACTGTTTTCAACATTGATAATAATCAGAAATGTTTCTTGAGCAGCAAATAAGCATATTATACTGATTTCTGAAGATCATGTGACACTGAAGACTGCAGTAATGATGCTGAAAATACAGCTGCGCATCACAGAAATAAATTACAGTTTAACAGAGATTCACATAGAAAACAGCTGTTTTAAATTGTAATAAT